ATTTAATTTGACAGGATAAAAAAAAAAAAAAAACAAAAAAAAAAACCCAAAAAAACCCACACAGAAAAGCAGGCTGGGAACTCGGCAGTCCAATGAGAGCCACACATAGCAGCATGGCACATGCTGCCTCTTTACCCAGCTGCTCTTCTCTTCTTCAGCCCTGTGACATGCCTGCCAACTCAAATGACCTCTTCTGTTTCAATTCTCCTTCACACAGAGGCAAAACCAACCTCAAATACTCCAAAAAGATGAAGAAAGGAGAATCAATAGGACACCCATGAGCATGATGCAAAACCAGTAATTTTACTCCGTGAGCTCAGAGAAAGCTAGTGAAACAGCATCTGTCTCCTTCACTAATCTCATATGAATCCCAGTTTTTCCTCTGCTTAGTTGTTTTTTCCATGTATGACAAGAGAAGCAGAGTGCAGCTGAAGACCCTAGTCATAATATTGCACAAGTTCTACAGCATATCTTGGGACAGTGGCTAGCTGGGGGAGTAAGGAACCAGAGCGTCTAGGAGGTAAAAGGGGAGAGGAGACAGACGGTCCACACTTAAGACTATTAATCTCTTCATACTAGAGTGTCTGTGCCAGACTGTTCAAATGACTTGCAATTTCTGTTTCCCATTGATCAATAAGGCAGTCCAGGACTGAAACACTGACAAGAGAATTTTTATTTTAATGAGAAAAAAAATGCAGAGGCAGCACTGTTTCTCTGCACTTCAGTTTGAACAGAACTGACCTCATTTTTTCATTCCTCTCCCCTTCTCCCCACCAGCAATCCTGTCCTAATGAGTCAGTCTTGGCCGAACGCTCCAGTTTGCAATCATGCTCACAGAAGTGTCAAAAGCTCCTGCTGTCGATTTTCCAAATTACTTTCAAAACTTGCATCACAAGAGTCTTATCAGAACAGTTGTGACATTAAGCAGAACAAATACATTGTCATCTGAATAGAGGGAGACATCCAAATCATCGGGACATGTTGTACAAGCAAGCCCAAAAGCCACTAGACAGGAACATTATGTTGAGAACTAGTCCAAGAAAGCACGTGTTTGATAATCAGTTATGGCAAACCAGCAGTAATTAGATATTATAAACAGATTATGGACTTCCATTTAGCACCTGACTGCCAAATAATTTTAAATGGAAAGAGGCTTTTTACCTTGAAAAGGAAATAGTCTTTTTTGTATAGTTCGATACATTGTATTATTAAAATACAAATATCTTCACATTTAATGTAAAATTAATAATTATAAAGTTAAAAAACCTATCATAATCTGCTATATAGTAGGCACTGTGAAACAGTCAACTAGTACATATTTGCTGCTGCAGATTCAGTAGCTTAATATCTGAAATCAACATTTGTAAGAAGATAAAAAATCTGCTAACTTATTTGTCTGATACATCCACCACAACTGAGACTGTTTTATGAACAGAACCATGTGTAAGTGCTGTTTTGTGTGTTCAGTTGGATTGCAGTTCCCATCCAGATGCATCTTGAGAGAATTGTAAGAGCTCCTGCAGCAAAAACCTTCCACACAATTTATAGAAATCTGGATATCCAGATTATTTATAGAAATCTGGATAAACCGATATATGAGAAAGTCAAGAGTAAGACTTTTTTCTAGAACTTAAACAATACCACCACCTGCTCTGACAAGCCCTCACAATCCCAACTCTGCTAAACGCCAGCAGCAGGAGCAACAGGAAGAAACCCCACTCTGAAGAGCTTCAGTTCCTCCTTCTCCCAGCAGAGGCTACTGCTCACCTACAAACAAGTGTACTTGACAGCAGAGCAGAGGAGCAAGAGGGAGGAGGAATGACGACTGAGGATCCTTCATGCATCCACTGGGCTGCAATGAGGAGCATCTCTGAGAACTACCTGCGTCCTTACCTTATTTGCGACAGTGTACTGGTACGAGTACCGCTGCTTGCCGCTCATGTCCTCGTACACGGTCGGGACGATCTTCAGGATGTAATCGTGAGATGCAAGAGCTGTGGTCAAGAAAGGAAAGCCTATGTTAGCACTCAGGAAAAGGAATCAGAGCCTGCACAACGTTTCAAAGTAAATGTGCAAAATCAACCGAAATGAGGAAGTCATGGAAAAGGCATTCCCGTCCTCATCTCGGCTTCTATGACAAAGTGACAATTTCACAGCCTACATTTATGTCCTTTGCACAAAACTTGGTAAGGTAGTTGGATGACACCAGAACCTGCCCACCATTCCAAGACCTCTCCAAGTACCACAACCCACGGAGATGCGTTTGGGTCACTTGAACCCTCCTAACCGCTTGTAACTATGAATAACAAGACTTATCAGCACCACAAAAAGTTGTCCTGCTTAAAACAAGAACTAGCCAAGGTTAGAGTTGTAGTTCACTGAGCTTCTTTTGACAGAAAATACTGAGGCATCATGACCAGTGTAGTCCCATTTCCTGTGCTCTCATCCTTCTTTATCTTCTTCCTTCTTCTATAGCGGCTTAACAATTATTAATTTTTCTTTTCTATTATTTGAATGGCTTGTGCTTTGTGTCTCCTGAAACAGTTTTAAAACAGAACTCTAAATTATTTCCCTAC